TAGCAGCCAGGGTGTAGTAGAGGGGAGAAGAGTTAAATTCTGGATAGATTTTATAGGTGAAATTAACAGGTTTTGCTGACAGATTGGATGTGGGTATGAAGGAAAGAGAGAGGTCAAGTAGGGAAGCTTGGGGAAAGGCTGGGCACTCAGTTCCACATGTGATTAGTTCAGGAAAGTCTGAGGTGTTGAACAGACAGTCATTACTTCATTGGTTCCCCACACTGCCCACCCAGAACCTGCCAGCCCAGGCTTTAGGCGCCTGCCCCCCCTTCTCTTCTCCCAGGTCCATGGAGCTGGAGTCAGTGGGGCTGGGTGGAGCAGCAGCCTTCCGGGAGGTTCGGGTGCAGTCTGTGGTGGTGGAATTCCTGCTCACCCATGTGGAGGTCCTGTTCAGTGACACCTTCACCTCTGCTGGCCTTGACCCTGCAGGTATGCCCATCCTACCCTCTGATGTCTTGACTACTGCCCACTCAACGTCAGGGCAGCAGTGGGAGGGCAGGTGGGCTCCAGCCCTATCCCTACCCCACTGAAGCCGGACCTCCCTCCCAACTCCTTGAGGACCCCGCCCGGCCCATCCCTCTCCCTGCCCCCCCCCCGCCCCCTCCTTCTCATTTCAGCTCCTACGCTCAGGATCCCCACTTCTTGGCCAGGACGCCGTTCTTCCTTCACCCCTTATAGCTCCTGGGGGCACTTGGGGCCATGGGTCTACCTGGGAGGAAGTGGGAGGTCCCCAGATTTGACCCTGCCTGGGCCCTGCCCAGACTCCCTGCCCTGCCCGGGACCCCAGCCCAGTCAGGATTCAGCTCGTCGGAGGGCCCTCTGGCCCGAGGTAACTGACCAGAGCCGCTGCCCTTGCTGGCTGCTGGGAGCTGCCTTCTCATCAGCTCGTTCTGCCTCACCTCTCCTCCTCGCCTGCCTGCTGCCCCACCCCCATTCCCGCCTGATCCACCCTGGCCCCCTGCCTTGCCAGCCCGGGTGGGCATGCTGCGGGCCGGGGCTTGGGCTGTGGCGCTTGGCTTTGCCTGTAGCCTTAAGTGACCCCAAAGCTGATAGTTTCCCCCTTTCTGACCTCCCCAGGCCGCTGCCTCCTCCCCAGGCCCAAGTCTCTTGCGGGCAGTGGCCCTTCCACTCGCCTGCTGACACTGGAGGAAGCTCAGGCTCGCACCCAGGGTCGGCTGGGAACACCCACTGAGCCCACAGCTCCCAAGGCCCCCGCCTCACCTGTGGAAAGGTGAGTGGGATTTGGGGGGACGGGGAGGAGGACTGGAGGTGTGCCATGACTCAAATTGCCTTTTGTTTCTCACCCAAACCCCAGGAGGAAAAGGGACAGAGGTGAGAAACAGCGGAAGCCAGGGGGTAGCAGCTGGAAGACATTCTTTGCTCTAGGCCGGGGCCCCAGTGTCCCCCGAAAGAAGCCCCTGCCTTGGCTAGGGGGTACCAGAGCCCCACCACAGCCTTCAGGTCAGTGGCTGTGCCTGTGCAGTTGGCACGGGGGGTGGGGGGATGGTGTGTGGAGGCCCTCCTACCTCTCCTACCTCTCCTCACAGGCAGTCGACCCGACACAGTCACACTGAGATCTGCCAAGAGCGAAGAGTCTCTGTCATCCCAGGCCAGCGGTGCTGGTGAGCAGGGGGTAGGCCCTACATGTACCCAAGCATCATAGGGGAACTGAAGCCCTGGTTTTGTCCCCAAAAGTTATATTTCAGATTTGGAAGGATTCTTGAATGTTTAAATTTTTAAAATCTGAACTTTAGGTACAATGAGTTGGCTAAAATCCACTATACACTCTGCCTCCTGGCTCATCCAGGTTCCTTTAAAACAGTCTTTTGTTTATGCATTCCTTTTCAAAAAATTTAAATATTATGAATACCCACCAACTCCCTAAGCACAGCTAGAAGAGCCCTAATATCTTGCCCAGGAGCCCCTTCCCTCTCCCCCATCCTCTAAATTTGATGCTGATCATGAACTTGCTTCAAGGTTTTATCGAATACAAGTATATGTGTAAAGAACATACTGCTCAGTTCTAGTTGCTTCTGATACTATTTACAGGAAATGTTAAGAAAGGAGCGAGGAGGTATCATGCCGTCTATAGAATGAATTTTTCATTCACAACTCCATTACGAACTGCCATCCGTGTTGCTGAGCATAGCCCAGATTCAGCCCATTGCTTTCTATTCTGGGGTGGTATCCCATCCTAAATCCCCAGGGTGAGGAGTCCCTGTCATAGGTTGCTCTGCCACATTCCCAGGAGTAGAGGTGCTCTACTGTAGGGTCTGCACACATTGAAATCACAGGACAAGGGTGACTTGCTTTCCCCAAACAGTCCCATCTGGATGCCCAGCAGCTCACAGACCCTGGGGCAGCAAGACTCCATTCTTGTTTGGGATCTGGAATGGTCTCTTCATGGTCTTGCCTGAATAATTCTTCCTAAATCCACGGCCTCGTTGGCCCTCTCTAGGGAAGTGCCTCTTGTTTGCTTCCTGCCTTTCTGTGGACCTGTGTCCTGTTTGCTCTGACGTCTGGTCTCTAACTGTGCCCCCTCCAGGCCTCCAGAGGCTGCACAGGCTACGGCGACCCCACTCCAGCAGTGACGCCTTCCCTGTGGGCCCAGCACCTGCTGGTTCCTGCGAGAGCCTGTCCTCCTCATCTTCTTCCTCTTCCTCCTCTTCCTCTTCCTCCTCCTCTTCCTCCTCCAAGTCCTCAGCAGCTGGCCTGGGGCCACACTCTGGGTCCCCTTCACACCGCACCTCAGCCTGGCTAGATGATGGTGATGAACTGGACTTCAGCCCACCACGCTGCCTGGAGGGACTGCGGGGGCTTGACTTTGATCCCCTTACATTTCGCTGCAGCAGCCCCACCCCAGGGGACCCTGCACCTCCTGCCAGCCCAGCACCCCCGGCCTCTGCCTCTGCCTTCCCACCTAGGGTGACCCCCCAGGCTCTCTCACCTCGGGGGCCCACCAGTCCTGCTTCACCCACTGCCCTGGACATCTCAGAGCCCCTGGCTGTATCAGTGCCACCTGCTGTCCTAGAACTGCTGGGGGCTGGGGGAACACCTGCCTCAGCCACCCCAACACCAGCACTCAGCCCTGGCCCGGGCCTGCGCCCCCATCTTATTCCCCTGCTGCTGCGTGGAGCCGAGACCCAACTGAGTGACACCTGTCAACAGGAGATCAGCAGCAAGCTGGCACTGCCTAGTCCCCGGGGAACCCAGGGCCAGCATGGTGAGTCCTGCTTGGTCCATCTCATACTCTCATAGATCCTGAGGTTGTCCCACAACACAGCTGACTTCCTTCCCATTCCTTTCTCTGTAGGTCCTGGTATGGATTCACCATTGCTACCCCCACCCCTGACCCTCCTGCGCCCTGGGGGGGCCCCACCTCCACCCCCCAAGAACCCAGCACGCCTCATGGCTCTGGCCCTGGCTGAGCGGGCTCAGCAGGTGGCCGAGCGACAGAGCCAACAGGAGCATGGGGGCACACCATCTGTTCCCCGTTCCCCTTTCCGCCGCTCACTGTCCCTGGAAGTAGGCGGGGAGCCCGTGGGGATCTCAGGGAGTGGGCCCCCCCCTCACTCCCTGGCCCATTCGGGTGCCTGGGCCCCAGGACCCCCATCCTACCTACCAAGACAACAAAGTGATGGGAGCCTGGTGAGGAGCCAGCGGCCCATGGGGACCTCAAGGAGGGGACTCAGAGGCCCAGCACAGGTCAGTGCCCAGCTCAGGGCAGGTGGGGGGTGCAGGGATGCCCCCGAGATGTCAGCTCAGTCCCCATGTTCTGTCCCCTCACAGATTCCTACTCCTGGCTTCTTTTCCCCAGCCCCCCGGGAGTGCTTGCCACCATTCCTTGGGGCCCCCAAACCAGGCCTGTATCCCCTGGGCCCCCCATCCTTCCAGCCCAGTTCCCCAGCCCCAGTCTGGAGGAATTCCTTGGGCCCTCCAGACAGGGGAGAGAACCTGTACTATGAGATTGGGGCAAGCGAGGGGTCCTCCTATGCGGGCCCTACCCAGTCCTGGAGTCCCTTTCGCTCCATGCCCCCTGATAGGCTCAATGCCTCATATGGCATGCTTGGCCAGTCACCACCACTCCACAGGTCCCCTGACTTCCTGGTCAGCTACCCCCCAACCCCCTCCTGCTTTCCCCCTGACCATCTTGGCTACTCAGCCCCACAGCACTCTGCCCGACGTCCCACCCGGCCTGAGCCCCTCTATGTCAACCTAGCCCTAGGGCCCAGGGGTCCTTCACCTGCCTCTTCCTGTTCCTCCTCTTCCCCTCCGGCCCACCCCCGAAGTCGTTCAGATCCCGGACCCCCAGCCCCCCGCCTTCCCCAGAAGCAGCGGGCACCTTGGGGTCCCCGTACCCCTCACAGGGTACCTGGCCCCTGGGGCCCTCCAGAGCCTCTCCTGCTCTACAGGGCAGCCCCACCAGCCTACGGGAGAGGGGGTGAGCACCACCGAGGGTCTCTGTATAGAAATGGGGGTCAGAGAGGGGAGGGGGCTGGTCCCCCACCCCCTTACCCCACGCCTAGCTGGTCTCTCCATTCTGAGGGCCAGACCCGAAGCTACTGCTGAGCCAGAGCTGACAAGGACCTTATTTTCCCCTCTTTCGCCCTCAGTGACTCTCAGCCCAGCCCAATCCTTCATTTTGTATTTACTTGAGTTCCTGAGCCTACCCCCGGTTTCTAACTTTGTAACTTGCTTCTGATGGTCCCTCACCTCAAATCAGTGTCCACCCTGGCTGAAGGGTTTGCCTATCTCCCCACCATCCTCCCTTCTGGGGCTCTCGCACAAATCCAAGGGAGGGCTAGGCCGAAACCCTGTTCTCTCTCCTCCTCCGGGAGCCCCCTGCCTGTCCTGACCTGTGCACAGGAGGTAGGGGGACAACTCCTGCCTGTCTTTCCTTGTGTGCCCCACTAAACCATCTGACAAAATTAATGAATAAAAATGGTGAAAATGTGGCTGTTGTGTCATGCTGGGGCCAGACTCGGCAAATGAAAAAGACATAGGGTTGGGGGTTGCTTTATCATTTTCTTGTCTCTACTGGAAGGCTGCAGGGGGGTGATATCCTCAGGGAGAGGACATTGGCGCCCTATTGGCGCCCTAGCAATCTGTGCCAGGGGTGAGGCTGAGGCTGGGCTTGTCTTCCAGTTGGCATCCACTCTGCAGCTCTGCCATGATCTCCTCCAGAAGGTCCATCCTGGGGAGCAGTGGGGCAGGGAGAGACCCATGGTCACCTCAGGGATGAGGGAGGAGGCAAGGGTCCCCCCACCGGGGCTCCATTTCTCACTGCTGCAGGCTGGAGGAGAGCCCTTCTGCGATCAGTTCAGTGCCAGGTGCCTGCAGGGGAAAAAGGCTTGAGCTGCCCCTGGGGGTCACGGAGCTCCAGCGGGCCTGGAAGAACGGAAGGCGCATGGTGGGTGGGCTCAGGGTCCTCCACTTTGCTTGCCCTCATGGCCTTCCCTGCCAGCAGCCTCCCAAGGTGTGGAAGCCTCCCTGTGGGTCACCAGGCAGGGGTGGGCTCACAGGGCCGGGGGTCCAGCGGGGCAACCCTGTGTGGGTGCTGCAGCAGCCCCTGCAGGGCTTGAATCTTGACTGAGAACTTCCTCTCAAACTGCTCCTCAGAGCTCTGGGTCCCCAGCAGGGAGGCCGATTCCTGGAAGCTGGAGGGCAGGGCAGGGCCCTGAGGGAAGCAGGTTGGTCAGGGGTAACAGGTTCAGAGTCCCTGGTGGGGAGGTTCACTGGTCAGAGGAGAGGGGGCCAGGGGGCTACTGGGCAGGGGGGATTGGGCTAGCAAGGGCTCTGGGGTGTCCGTACTATGGAGCTAGGTTCCAGACAGCAGTGCAGGCGGCCCCTGGCTCTGGGGCTAGGGCTGCAGCTGGGGCTGCTGCTGAGAGTCAAGCTGCTGCCGGAGTCCAAGGTTGCACTCCTCTGCACTCTGCTGTGGCCTGTGGCCTCAGGAGTCTCCAGGGCCTGCAGAGAACAATGGCACAGTGGGCATGGGTCACCCAGGTGCCCCACACCTGCCTTGGTCCCCCACCTCCATTCCCCGGCCCCTACCTGGGATGGGACGGGGCCTGGTGGCACAGGCCTGGGTCTGGTCTTGACTCTGGAAGCTACCTCATAGAACAGTTTCTCTAGGGAGACAGAGCAACTGGTTGTAACCGGGAGGCACAGATCCGCTACGCCCAGCACCACCACCACCCTTCCTTGCCCTCTAACCTGGTGGAGAACCCTGCAGTAGAGGGGACAGTGTGGTCCACTCCAATGTGGAACCAACCTCAGGGGATGAGTCCTGTGGAAAGGAGGCGTGTTATGGGGGACAAAAACCTGCCTGGGATTCCATGACTACCCCCAACCCCTGCTGACCTTCCTGTACCTGGGCCATGGCCTCCCGCAGCAGGTATCGAGTACTCTGCAAGCTGCCCCAGCGGTCAGCAGGCCCTAGGCCCAGCCCAGCCTGAACCAGGGCCTGGTAGGGGGCTGGCACCATGGGGTCCAGAGTTGGGCTCTCACCTGCCTCCAGCTTAGCCTTCACCTCAGGCCCCTCTCTCCCAGCCCAGGGCAGCTCTCCTATGAGGAAGTACAATCAGGGAACCCAACCAGGTGGGATGCCTCAATGGGCCAGGGTATAGGGTGGTCACTCACTGACCAGTGAAAACCTCCTGAGCCAGGATGCAGAAACTGTAGAGATCTGAGGTGGTGGCAGGCATGTCACCGTGGATCAGCTCAAGTGGCAGCCATGGGTACAGTTCAGGGGGTGGGGGCACCCCTTGGTTCCCCCAAGGGTAGCCCTGCTGCAGCCTGTGGAGCCCAAGGGGCCTGATGAGGCAGTGGCCACTGGGAGGCTCACAGGGCAGGCGGGTGGCGAAAGCACTCACCTGGGTCGCAGCCGGCATTGGTGCAGTGGGCGCCCATGCTCCAGGTTGCCCACCTTAGCCAGGCCTGGCCGCACCAGCTGCACGGCATGGGAGGTGAGTCCACCGTGGGCTCGCCAGCGGGCCTGCAGGAACAGCAGGGCCTCCAACACCTGCAGCAGCAGGTGGCCGGGCAGCAAGCCTGGCACGGTTTGGGGACCCTCCTCACTTGGTCTCTGTGAGTGCAGCACCACGTGCAGGGAGCCCAGCCACACGGGCTCAAACAGGAGGCACAGCCCCGACAGGTCCACAGAGGGGCTCAGTGCCATCAGCAGCAGCAGGTTGGGGTGGTGCAGGGTGCTAGGCAGGGAGGAGAGCGGGCCACTCACAAGCAGGCCCAACCTGCACAGGGTGGATTCTGTTCTTGAGCACACACCACCCACCCTGTGCCAGAGGCAGGCCACCTGCACCAGCCACCAGTTAGAGGAAAACCTGAGACCCAGGTCGCACAGCCCCGCGGTGGCAGAACCAGCACTGAGCCCATACTCCCCATCCATTTACCCCTCCCTATGCCCACCTCCTCTCCGAGGCCCACGGGACACAGCACAAAGAACTGGGCATCCACTTTCCAGTGGAAGGGGAATCACTCCAGCTCGAAGGCTCCATGCTGCGTTCCACCCAGAGGTGAAGACTAACCATGGCTATCGCCACACTGTCCTGTCGTGGGGTTATGGAGTGCTGAAGTCGGGAGGGCAGGTGGAGACTGGCGCAGGGAGCAGGCTGGGCAGCGGGGAGGCTGGGACAGGATACCTGCAGTGCTGAAGGTCAGCCAGCAGCACATCAGGGTGGGCTCCTGGGACCTTCAGCCGCCGCACAGCCACAGGGTGGCTCCTCCACAGGAGGCTAGAGAATGGGGAGCAGCAGAGGGCAGGTCTGAGACATGGGGGCAGGATTTCCTTGTGAGGGGGCCAGGGAGCAGGGGGCACTGCAAGAACACAAGAGGGGGCTCTCACTTGACCATGAGGGTATGGGAAGTGCTCTCGTAGGTGCGGTCAGGTTCGCCCTGGGCTGGTAGCAGCTCCTTGGGGTCCACCAGGGGTATGCCTGTGACCAGCCCCAGCAGCTGCAGGCTGCTCAGCTGGGGACGGGGAGCAAGGCCATGAGACACGAAGAAGACAAGGTTGGTCCACTCTCCCCCAATACCTCCCACTTACCTGGCCAAACCCCAAAGCTGGGATTTGAGGGGATCTCCTGATCTGCTCTGGCTTCAGTGTTCTGGAGTAAAGGGTGGGCTTAGGGTGAATCTGGAGTAACTGAGCACGATGGGTGGGTGAGCTCTCCAGGGTGCAGAACATTACCTGTCTGTCTGTACCAGCCACAGAGAGGACAGGGAGCCACACATGCTATTCCTGGAGCTGGCCTGCAGTTGACCCAGGGAAGTAGTAGGTGCCAGGTCAGCACCATGCAGTAGTGCTGACATATGGGCATGACACAGCTGCAACAGCTCCAGCATCTGGATGGGGACACGTGGGTGAGGCTGGGTACGGTGCTGGCCCTGACGTCCCACCTGCACCAACGCCACTGCTTACCTCCCAGCTTGGTTTGGCACCCCCCTGCTCAGCCCAGTCTCGTGGTGTGCGACCCTGCTGGTCATGCAGGCGCAGGTCACCCCCCGCCTGCAGCAGGTGCAGCATCACCAGGCCACAGCCTGAGAAGGCGCCCGCATGCACTGGTGTGCTGCCATCAAGAACAAGGGTGGGAATGGATTAGGAAAGGATGGAACAGGGGCAAAAAGTGGCAGGAAGATGGCCCTGGGGGATGGAGGCGTCACTGTGAACAAGGGAAGTGGTACCAGAATGGGAAGGGTTACTTTAGGATGCCATTGGGTCTTTGTGGGGCTGAGAGGAGGACCACTGTGAACGTGGGAAGCAGCAGGGATGAGAAAGGGCTACCCCAGAGGACCAGGGGATCACCAAGGGAGAGAAGAGGAGTCCTGGCTTTCAGGCTCAGCACCCTGGGAGTGTGGGGGCATCTTGGCCTGTCCACTCACTGGTTGGGGTTGGCGCCAAAGGCCAAGAGAAGCCGCACGGCAGAGCTGTGGCCCAACAGTGCTGAGAGGAAAAGCCCCGTCTGCCCAGCAGAGTTCTCACCATCCACCTGGACAACTGAGAGGCAGCAAGACTTAGGACTGCCCCTGCCATGCATTCCTGGGGCAGAGGTCCTAGGGCCATCAGGCAAACATTCTTGCCAATTCCCAGCCTCCACTGTCCCTCCTTGACTGGGTGACCCCTGACCCCGGGTTCCATCAGTGTCCCAGAACCCCCTCCACATACATGCACCAGCTGCTGAGGACTCAATCCTCAACAAGGTGCACCGGAAATCACCATTAGGTCCACAGAACAAGGGGCGACATCTGCCTGTCGTGCAGCATCCATATCTCTAGAGGTGTCAAGATCACAATGGGGCTGGGAGGAAGGAACCATCACGAAACCTTGTGCATTGTCCCACTGTCTGCGACAGGCAACCTTCACCCAGCCCTAACTCAGTATTGTATATACAGGTCCCATGTGTCCAGCCTTCAATCTTCAAGAAAAGCAAACTTTCTGGATTCTACGAGGAAATCTCTCATTAGAACACTGCACCTAAAGGCAACCTCTTATTCACTGCCACCTCAATGCTGTGCCTTCCCCCATGTCCTTCCCCATCATCACTTTGCGCAGATGCCACCTCCCATTCACTCACCCTCTGCTCCATGCTTTATATCTATGCCCCTCCCCATGAGTTCCTCTTTCTCCAGGTCCTGCGCCAAGGAGGGCCAATGCATAGTGTGCTTGTCCTTGTACCCCTGTGTCCTCGGCAGAAACAATCAATCATGCACTTGGTCCACCCCAGCCGGCTCTCTGCCTCAAAAACCCCTCAAATGTAGACCTTCCAGAACCTCTGAATACCACATTCACTGCATCATGTTTTACTCAAGCCCATCTTTTGCAATGGTCTTCTAAATGGTTTTTGCACTCATCATGCAACACAAAGGCATCTTCTTTAAATACAAATCATTTAAGAACTAGATAATCTTACACAAGTTGTTCCAAAACAATAAAAATTAAAAGGATGGTAAGGCTCACTTTCTGAGGCCAATCTGACCTGATGAGAGTTTCCAGAACCAGAAAAAACAATTATATTATCAGTTCTGCTTGTAATCATGTATGCAAAAACACTAAATAAAATAAAATTGCTTTATCTCTAGAAAGCAAGGATTATTCAACACAAGAATAGCTATCCATGAAATAAAATGCATTCATGGATTAAAGGACAAACATCACATACTTAAGTAGATAAAAAAGTACTTGATATAAGTTAATATCAACTTATAATTGAAGGAAGAGAACCTCAGAAAATAGACGGGACCTCCCTTACTTGATAAGAATTGTAAGCCAATAGCAAGCATGATAAAACAGAAATAGAGACTCAATCCCTTTAATATCAAGAACAAGGATAAAGAAGGGAAGGAAAAGGTGTGTGTGTGGGGGGGCGGACCAGAAACTGAAATGGAATAAATCAAATTCCATTCATGTACGATTCTGACAAAATGAACCCTCCTATTATGTATAACTATAATGCACTAATTAAAAGGAGGAAAAAAGAACAAGGAAAACTATGTCTGCCAACAACATGGTTTGGGAGTTCTGGCTAATACTCAAGAGAAGAAAAAGAAACTTAAGAGTTCAAATATTGAAGGGCAAAGACCAAACCTTAACCATTTTCAGCCAACAAATCATAAACATTAAAAAATTAAGAAAAATAAAGAATCAACAATTACAACAACTAAGCAAGTTCAGAAATAGGCCAGAACTTAACAAAAATCAATGAAAACAGAAATTGTAAATTTTTAATGCTCATTGTGATGTTAATTGCCTGCTTACAATTCCAATGGTTTTCCATCCCACTGAGAACAAAATCCAACAAAATTCACACACATTCTGAAGCCCTTTACTATCTGGACCTGAGTCCTCTACCAGAGCCCATGCACACACATGCCCAGTTTGCTTTGATTTCAGTGCCTTTGCATAGGCCATTCAGCTTCCAAGGGGGTCGGGGTCTGTCTGTTTGTCTGTCTCTCTCTTGCATGATTGGCTCCTATACCGCAGGATTAAAGTTTCACTCCATCTGAAAAGCCACTTGTCCGATGTGTCTCATCCTCATTCCTCTTATACCGCCACTATCAGATTTCATTCTCAATGATTCAGAAGTTAGATTCACCCTAAAATCCCCATCTCGGACTTCTGAGTCTGGCGCACAGTAGATGCTGGTGTATACAGCTGTTCACTGGCCAACTGAAGCTGTACATTCCACACCCACCCACCCCACCCCACGCCCCTTGGTCCTGTCCCGCAGGCCACCCAGGAGCCAGGTCCTCACCTCTCCGCAGGAGCCTGGCCAGACCCCAGCTTGGGCCGCCGGCCACCGCCAGACGATGCAGACGGCCCACCTGGGCATCTGGATCCCGCACGGAGCCCAGTTCCACTGGGAAGCGTGAGGGCAGCGAGGGCATCTGTGGGCTGTGGACTCAGTTCCTGGTTGGGGGTCAGCTAGGGGGTCTCGTGAGGGCAGAAGGAGGTAAAGGACCGCACCTCTGGGGGCAATAAAGCAATGCAATAAAGTCAGAACTGGCCCGGTGGGAAGGGGACTCGGGAGGGTTTGATAGGGGTGGAGGCGTGGTCCATAACAGAAGGTCAGCCTGAGGATCGAAGCCCGAGGGCAGCATAAGGGCTGGGAGAGGAGCTGGGGGCTGGGGAAGGGCGTGGCAAAGGTGACAGAGTCTGGAAGAGCGTCTGAGGGCTTAGGAGGCGGCTCTGGACGTTGCTGGTTGGAGGAAGAGGCCAGCGGTGGAGGAAGAGGCGGAGTGGTCTACCCGCCCCGGAGAGGGCCAGGTGGCGCCTGAGTGCGGCGGGAGGAGGAATCGGAAGAGTGGCCAAGCTGCGGCGGTCTGCAGCTTAGCTGCAGCGTCTGGGCTGGGGAGGGTCCCTGGAGGCCGATGGAAGGGACTAGTGAAGGGAGGGGGGCCGGGGCGGAGTCTGAGGCCTGGGGGAGGAGCCTGGGGCGGGATCTGAGGCCTGGGGGAGGGGCTGGGGGGAACTGAGGGACCTGAAGCTTGAAAAAGTTCTAGGCCTGGACCCCAATCCAGGTGGCTTGCACCTACCGTTGGGCCCTATAGTGGACATCACGTGACCACCACGTGACCGCAGCGCAAGATGGCTGTCTGGTTGGGCATCTAGGCCCACGTGCCCCAGCGGCTCCTGTTACTCCTGCGCAGAAGCTTCCCTCCCCGCAAAAGGGCCCTCACAGCCTTGTCTGCCTCAGGGCTTTCTTCTGAGCTCTGCATGTTCCCCCCTTCTCGCCTACACTGCAGAACTTTTGGGGGACAGCAGGCCCTTCCTGACCCTGTGTAGATTCCTTGGCTGTCTTGCCATGCTCCTCACAGACCTCCATGGATTCTTTAGCCTTTTCCCTGCACCCTATTTCTGAGGGAGACATAGAGCATCTCCCCTTGGACATCCGCTGGGACCATCACACACCCCATGACCCACAGTGGCCTCAGAATTCTCCCCAAACTGTTTTCTCCTGTATTCCCATCTCAGGGTTGGCCCCACTGTCCCCCTTTTCCAAGTCAGAGCCCTGGACTTCACCCTGGCCATCTCCCTTCCATTTGGCCCTCAGCCTCGTGTCCCATGACCTGTCTCCTCCTCCCCTCCCTGCCCTGCTCCAGCCTCTCTCAGGCTCCCAGCCTGATACCACTTTCTAGTCCACCCTCCACATGGCAGCCAGGGGGGTCTCCTACAGCCCAAACTGACCCTGTTTCTCTCCTATCTGAACCCCTTCTGATTCCCCAGTTCCCCTGGGACTGAGGCCAAGCTCTACAGTCACCTGTGAGCCAGTGTTGTCCCACCCCTCTATGCTTGCCTCCCCACCCCCCAATCCATGCCATACTTGTGTTTTTGCACATGTCCTTGCTTTGAATGCTCCTCTTAATCTTCATGATGATTCTTATGAATTTGGGGGGATGGTCTCTTGATCATCCTCAGCTTGGGTCAGGTGCCTCCTCTGGCTTCCCACAGCCGCCATGCTACCCCAACATAGCCCTGACCACTCTGGGTTATCACTGTCTGAAGTGGGTCTGTCTACACCTCCTGGCCCTGTGATGCAGGGCCCAGGATTGTCTTTGTCACTGTTATACCACCAGCCTTACTCACCTCAGAACCTAGCTCAAAAAGAGCCCAGTGTTTATTAACTGGGAAAGTGCTTTGTTCGTCCCTGGCCATGTGACCTTGGCCCAACCTTTCATCGTCAGTGCCTCAGCGTGCACTCTTCCTCCATGCTCCTCTTTTGGGCATTCACTGAGATGAACGAAGCTCCCATTTCAGTCACTGCCCAGGTTTATCCCAAGATGGGAGATATCAGAGTTGAGGGGGACGTTTCATTAGTGCTTGAACAATGTCCTTGGTATGCGCTGGGGCCATTTAAAGAATCTCTCTTAAGCCCCCATCTCCCTCGCCTGGGTTGGTTAAAATTGAGATGAACCCTTCCACAAAAAAGCAGCATCAGTGCAGGACAGCAGCCTGGGCAGTCGCTCAGAATCTTTATTGAACACACAACCCTCGGGGGTGCTAATGGAGTAGCCTTCTGCTTCTCCCCAGCAGCCTCTGCCACAGTTCTCGGCTGAGCAATGCCTGCTCCCTGCGGGCACCCTGCAGCACACTGCGGTTCTCCTGGGCCCTCCGAATCAGGTAGGGGATCACCTCCTCCAGGCAGCCATAGGGAATGGACTTATACACCATATATCCAGCCTGCCCTGGAGGGAGAGTGTTGGCAGGGGACAGGCTCAGACTTGGGGAGAGGCACCCAGGCCCCATCTTCAACAGAGATTTCCATTTTAAGAACATGGCAGACTTGAGTGAGTTGGACAAAATTTCCCACTGAGAAAAAAGTTTGATTCTGGAGTAAACATTTCAAAGAATCTTCTTAAGATTATTAAAATGCTGCCAAGAGCTGGGCACCTTGGCTTACGCCTGTAATCCCCAGTGGAGTATCAGACAGGTGGATCAAAAGTTCAAAGCCAGCCTTAGCAACTTAGCCAGGCCCTAAGCAACTTGAAATTTAAAAACAAATAAATAAAAATAGCTAGGGATGTGGCTCAGCAACCCCTTGATTCAATCTCCAGTACCAAGTAATAATAATAATAATTCTGCCAAGACAGCAAGGAATTTACTAATTCAGAATTAAAAGAAAATGAGATCTGAGAAAGAAGGACGTACAGGAAGCTACGTATGCTTTGCATGCAAACTAGAGCTCCTATTTGATGATTTCATTGATGTCAGGGTACAGTTGAGCTGTGAGCCTCACTAGAGGAAGAATTATAGGAAAAATTTTCCAAAGCTAAGTTGCAAAACAGAGAAAGTTATACCCTTAGAACAAAAATCAAGGAGAAGTAAATTCTTCCACTTTCCCCCACTCCCAAGAAATGAAATGGCCATAAGTAGAACAGGAAAGAAAACAGAAAGATCCATCTCTTGAGAGGTCACGGCCATGGGTTAGTTCCCTCTCATATTTGCAGCCCAAATTTGCATCCCTGGATAGCTCAAGAAACCTCAAGCTGTGATTTAGGGTACAATGGTTTTGTATCCCTGAACATCTAGCAGAAGGAAACATAAATCTTCTGGCCTCAGGTCCTGGGGAGAAGCACAGTCAAGATCACAAAGCAGACAGGAATTGTGGCCCCATGATCAAGAACCAGAAGAGAGCAGGGACCCAGCCCTGCAAGGCCCACAGATATTGGGACAACTCATCTACCTGGAAGGAGCTGGAGGATGGAACTCTGTGGGCTCTGGATGGGAACACGGCCAGGATGGGTTGGGAATAGCAGAAAGGATCTGGCTGGGAGGAAATGAGGCATGCAGCAGGTAGCTCCAGGTATGAATGGGAGATGGGCCCTTCACATACCCAGTGCTAGGGACACGTGGTCACACATGCCCAGAAGTTGTCCAAAACAGACAGGTCCATCCAGAGGAATGCCCAGCTCCCACATGCTACAGAAAAGACCACATCATCCATCAAGAAAGATAATGACTGAATCTGGAGCAGCAAGTCAGCCACTGCACATCCATAGGTTGCTCTGGTAATTCAATATTGAAGTACTGTTGGCCTGCTATATCTACGGATTCTGCATTCCTCAGATTCAACCAACCAAGGATGAAAAATGTTATTTTAAAATTGTGCCTGCACCAAACGCATACATTTTCCTTGCAATTATTCACTAAACAGTACAGTGTAACAACTATTTACATAGCATTTATGTTCTATTAGATATTATAAGTACTCTAGAGATTATTTAAAGTATATGAGGGGCTGGGCTATAGCTCAGTGGTTGAGCATTTGCCCAGCATGTGTGAGGCACTGGGTACGATCCTCAGCACCACATACAAATAAATACAGTCAAGTTATTGTGTCCACTAACAACTATTTTTTTTAAAGTACATGAGAAGATGTCCATGCAAATACTATGCCATTTTAGACAAGGGACTTGAGTGTCCCAAGGATTTTGCCCGAGGGGGTGGTTCCTGAAACCAATCATCTGTGGATAATGAAGAATAATTGTACTTCCAAACTCAATGATAAATAACTATATGAGTCTCCTAAAGAACTCCCAATGAGTCCTGGTCACTTCCTGGAACTATCAGACTTCCCCACGCCCCAGTAAATAAGGGACAATTCCTTGTCTATCCAGGGCTTAAATATTTTTATATCCTCTCTAAAGCACTGTAACCCCATCGCCCTCTGCCCATCCCTCTGAAGGAAGGGGGCCCTCCTGTGGGCACCTGTTTCCCACTCCCCCACCTCATACCGCTTAGTTGCCTGGCGAACAGATTCTTCATTGTGGGAAGCCACCATGAGGTGGCACATGGGGCCATGGTGGGACACGAGGCTCAGCATCAACTCCAGACAGCGGCTGTAACTGAAGGGAGATGCCCCATTCGGTTCACCTGGTGGGCGAGGGTCAGGCCCCAGGACTGGGGTAGGGTCTCTGGAGTCCATAAGTCTCCTCATCCCACCTGCCCCAGCTCCAAGGGACATCCCTTCTCTGAGCCATTTCCTCCTTTTGTGGCCATGTGAGTTCACTGACAGGGCTGCTGTGAGGGTATGTGTGACAGTCTCTGACACAATGGCAGACTCACAACCAGGGGAAACGCTGCCAGCATGGGATGCCAGCACCTAAGGGTGGTCCCTGCACCACTGTCCACAGAACATGATTGGCAACAACCCACAGGGAACTGGCTGTATGAACTA